TCAACAAACATGTTTCTTCTAAAATATCCATAGCATATTTTCGCTGAGAAATCACCAAACCATCTTTAGATTGGGCTATCTCAATACCCAAGAAATACCAGAGTTTACCAAGATCTTTTGTCTGAATTTGATTCGAAAGATGTTTCAACTGGAGTATTCCCGATTCATCACTATCAGTTATGACAATATCATCGTAGTATTCCCGAAAATATTTTTTTTCTCGTGGACAGTGCGGCAGCAGAGGTCGTTGGAAAAAAAATTTAAAATAAAAAGTGAGGCAAATCGGAATGATGACACGGTTTGTAGAAGAAAATTTCTCACCGGAAGACAGTGGGTCAACCGGGTAAAGCACGGCGAAGAATTGCATCTTTGAAGACTCTAGATACCATATTGAATTAGGAGAGACTAAGAGACATTTAGGTTAAACCGTATGTTTTGAAAGCACTACGGAGACTTTATTATATATATAGAAATTACGCCTAATTACATAATATAATCGATGTGGGACTATTTTACATACAAATATTCTTAACACTATATTTACAAATATCAACAGATATCATTTGTTTTTAGCTCACAAGTTTACTTGGTTTTTGTTATTTTATCCATACTAAGGTGAGAAGTATTATTGGGTTAAAATGACTTGATGAGAGATTCAGTTAGAATAGACGGACTGCGTTCTTTGTTGTTTTTGTTAATGTTATTATTTCGTTTGGAATTTGAATATGGCATTAGGGAATATTCTACTTGGGTTGTAATAGAGTGATGTTTGATTTTAGGTCTCTAAATCTGGTTTATAGTGGATGGTTGGAAAATTTCTTAATATTGGGACTGGGGTGATACAAGGAGAAGTATCGGGATGAGGGTGCATATGGTCTGTGTCTTCTCAATCCAAAGGAAAATAGAAAGTATATTTAACTTTAAGACATTAAACCGTAATGAAATTGAAAGCATATCTGAATACGCCAAAGTACAAATACTCATTTGTTTCCCCATGCTATGGAGGAAAGCCATCTTTCTTTCAGTCTCTTCTTGGTTAAGGCTATTTAATCCAAAATTGCTTGAAGATTGTGCTTTGCACTCAGTAGCATCCTTAATCTATGAACATATAGTGATTACAATGATAATAAATAAGCAAATGCGATTTAAAAGGCATCAATTAAGCTAGCAGTATTTCTTAAGTTTCATTGAACTAATCTGCTTGCTAAGCAATGAACCTAAGATTCTCGAAAGTTGGAATATTAATTTGTTTTAATTTCCAACAATGTTATTTTATTATTGCTATCTGCTAAGGCGAAAGTTTGTTGCAGTGATTTGATGAGTGCTCCTGTTATACGCATAGATGAAATTCTTGCTTTTCCTTATTCTGCGGATGAATTTAAAGATCAGGAGGTTCCTCCATCTGATGCTGATTATTGGCTTTACAAAGGAGAGGAAGAGTTAAATTCTGCTCTTAACGAAAGACAAAAGGAGATGGAACTTTTTGACTTAAAACACAAAAATAAAGGGAAAGGAAAAAAGGGTCAAGATAATGGTTCAAATGCTGATGAGTTTAATCCTAGTGACGTAGCAAAACTTATGCGAGCATTTGTTGACAAGGTGTCAAGTTTTGAGGGCGCTGAAGCTCCTGAAGACAGGTTAGTTTCACTGCATACATGTTCATTCAAGTATTACATATTTGATATGCATGCTTCCAAGTTCCAACAATTATCATATAGGAATATTTTCTATGAAAGAATTTTGGTCATGAAAAAGTTTACTTTTTCCATAATGTTTGGCCATTAGTATGTATTAATTTCCACACATTTATAACGATCCAAGTCGTTAACTCTAACCTTTTGGTTAATACTGAGATTTGGACAAATCAACTTGTCCTGTTTGGGTGAGGTTAAGTTTCAAGTTATATAGGCTTATCTACTGCAGTAACCAATAACTATTAATGAAGTATTGTGCCACTGCCAAATAAATTACTCATGAAGTATTTCTATCGTGCATGAATGAGCGTATTAATAAAAAAAATTCTGTTCCAAAAAGCTGTTTTGGACTTATTTTCATGACCTAAAACTCAGAACTTAAAAAACATGTTTTTGTGAAAGCTAAAAGTTAAAACAGTATAGGTGGTATCTATTTTTATAATAATTTATGGCCAAATTAACCTTGTCGAATTGTTGAAATTCTCTTCTTCAATTAGCATTTCACAAAGGGCCTATTCAACTGTTATATAGCTTAATTCAGACTTTACTTCTATAACACAGCCACTTATTTAACAAGTTCTACTATAATAATACGATAATTAGAACACAGTTATGGTAAAATAGGTGCTGATATATTGTTTTAAGTAACTAGTTCCATTTGTTTGTTATATGATAATATTAATAAGTTGTACAGCAGTTATTCCTATTACTAATTAATTTTTGCTATTGTAGTCGCAAACTCACAACATATACACATATGGTGATACTTAATTTGTTTATGTTATACCGTCCATTGCCCAAGCATACATGCTAAGAAGTGTTGATATTCGTAAATATATAATGTTAAGAATATTTGTATGTAGAATAGTCCCACATCGATTATATAATGTAATTAGTTGTAATCTCTCTATATCTCTCTCTATATAATAAAGTCTCCGTAGTGCTTTTATAACACACGGTTTAACCTAAATGTCTCTTAGTCTCTCCTAATTCAATATGGTATCTAGAGTCTTCTAAGAGATAAGGAGGTGGCATCTATTACCTTTTTGGTTTTACTATATTGCTTCATTATGCTGATATCTATTTATCTTGGACACTTGTGAAGAAATAAGGAGGTGGACTTTGATGCGGATCAATTTTTCAAAGAGATGGAATCAGTAATGAGTTGTCCAGGTGAAGCTGCCAACAGTAATATCAAAGAAGGATCATCATCTGACCTGGACTTTGGTAAGATTTTCGTGTTTATGTATACTTTGTACTCTTCAATAGTTATAGGGAAACTTTTATCTAATGATTGTGAAGTTTTACTTAAATAGATCATCTCTTACTTGCTTTACGTTTAACCTGTCTTTGTTTCTGCCAATGGATTATTGGTAAAATAGTTGTGTTACAAACATCACATTATCACATTTATGTTTTTGTGATATGCCATTTCATGCATGCACACTTGGGTTTACAACACATCTCACTGGTTTGACATTCCATTTGGTTTGAAGTTGGCTATTGGTTATCTCCTCAGGTTTGTTGTTGAGCAATGTAACATAGACTAATAAAATTTCTTAGTTGTTTGTGACACTGATCTGTATGAAATATGCATAGAACTGTAGGACTAGCGAATTAGTTGATTATTGGAATTCAATAAAATAAGTGATTATGTGATCAGTCTTGTGTCTTACTTGCATCTTAGTATCTCTTTTGGGCTGTGACATTTTTATTGATGATTATATAGATGATTCTGACGAGGATGATGGGGTTGAATCTGATGAGGAGAATGATGATGAAGAGAATACTTTCATACAGGCTTATTCTAATGCTATGGATGAACAACTAAAGCCAACAACCCTTCCGAAAACTTTTGTTGGTGTTGATAAAATAATTCCAAAGAAGGATGAGGTATTTTGTTTGGGTTTGCACGAGTGAAGAATGTTCTAATTCTAAATGTTAATGTTTATGGATGGTTAAATGACATCAATATTCAAACCGCACTAGGTCAATTGAAAGGGACAAAAATAAGTAATTTGTCTGATAAGTATGCAAAGATATTTCATTTTGGCCATTTGTTTTAACATGAATTCTCTATCTGCCTTTGTTGCTACATTTCTTCATTTTATCATTTACTTTGGTCAGTGCTGTTCTATGACTGATTCATTTTTAAAAAAAATTACTTTCAGGGGACATCACACGCCGCAGAAGATATGGATGAGGACTTTTCTCCTATAGACGTGGATGTAAATTTAGTACAAAGCCTTCTTGATTCCTTTTCTTCCCAACAAGGGCTTCCTGGTCCCGCGTCCAATTTGCTTGGGCTCCTGGGGGTGCAGTTCCCACAAGATGCTAAGAAGGGAAAGTGAGGCTATGTTACTAGAATTTTTGCCGAGGTTTCTCTAGATGATATATTCTCAAATGAGGTAGTCTCCAGGTAAAGAGATGTTACGTAACATGTTAGCCAGGATCTTTTTTCCCTAGAAGATAGTCACCTAGTCGACAGAGAGCATATGGGAATGACTAATCTCGAGGTTGAATTGCACCAGGTGTTGGTGCTCGATTTGTTAAGAACAGTGTTATTTCCTTACCTTGTTTGGTGGAAAAACAATGGAACCAATATATATATACAGCTAGTTATTTGACTGCATGTATTACAAGTGGCAAGAGAGGCATAGTAAATTAGGAAATAGGATAACCTTATATTTCAAGTATATGTGAATCAGAAGAAATGCTAACTATTTTAATTATTATACACAATTTGGGTTATGGTAGTTTCCAAATGAATTAAATATGTTTTTGGTCTCTAAAATCTGAAAGTATTGTCTTCAAGTGATGTTGGTTAATGAATTGTGTATATTATGAAATGACATGTAGGTCATTCCAAGAGGCATTCAAATGATACGTTAGCTTGTATAGTATCTAGCTAAAATATCTTCCTTAACCCCTAAAATGAAAGTTGTTTATCTACTCTTAATTGAATACTACAATCACTGAATGTGATTTCATATTTTAGAGGAATGAAAATTATAAAAGTTACAGGCTCAATCAAATTTCAGCCATTTTACAAGGATCACAAATAGTAATTTTAGAGAGGAAAAAGGGAATAATTGGATATACGTTGAAAAAGAGAGCTCAAAACACAAGTAAACCAAAAAATGCATTTTGCCATACTTCCTGCTTACAGTTATGGACAAGTAAAAAAAAGGGAAAATGAATCTCTTCCTTTAGAATCAAAAGACATTCTCAATCCACTATCTAATGAAACTGATGAATGATCAAAGAAACAAAATAGGAAACTAGCAAAATATATTACACATTACTCTAATCCCTGGCAGACCTGAGCTTCTTATTCATTCCAGGGGCCATGCAAGAGAAAATGGATTGTTTCTTTGGTTTCACGCCAAAGATAAATGATCTGAGAGGAACCCTAGCCCGACTTTCTGACTGACTTAGTTGTCCACTTTCTTCTCTCTTTGAAGCTGATAACTCAAATCGATCATTCAACTTTACAAGCGCCTTTTCAACTTCAAGTTGAAGTGATGTTACAATATCTAGACCTGCTTGAAGTTCATCAGCAACCTTATGGTTTTCCTGTTTCATATTCAAAACCTCACCTTGGAACTTGGCTGCTTGATAGCTCGTGAACCTGAAATCCTCGTCTTCAGCACTGGCTTTCAATGCATTTGTAATCTCTTCTTGAATGTCGCACAAAGACGAGAACCTACATTGTAGTTCTTCTTTTAGCAATGCGCTTTTCTCCATCCAGACTGTTATATCAGTTTGAATCACTGTCAGGTGTTTGTAAATCGGCCGTGCATCAGATTTTAGACTATGCTTTAAGCTGTTGCTACCTTCTGAAGACTTTCCTTTTTTCTCAAGTTTTGATACCTCGGTTTGCAAATCTTTGATAGTGGTTTCAAACCTTTGTATCTCAGCATAAGTTGTACTAAATTTTAACCAGAAAGTTAAGTTCTCCTCTAGAACTTCATCGATATTGGACCGGAACTTCTCTTCAATAACTGATGTAGATTCAGGTAAATCAATTGTTAGAAGTTTCTCAATGTCGTGTTCTTCTTGTTGTAGAATTGAAGTTGACTCAGTCATGTCATCATTTCCCTCCAAGGTTATCTGCAAAAGACCGAGTTTCTGATGTAAAATTCTTATTTCTTGATCTTTCAAGGAATTAGATGTCTTCAGTTCATGCAACTGAGATTTCAAACAATTATCCAAGTGCTTGTCTTGATTTTTGTTCTCTATTTCGGTGAGCTTCTTCTTCACATCTTTGTAACTCCGAAGAGTATTAGTGTACTCAGTTAGAAGAGTTTTTTCTCTATCTTGCATTCCATTCAAAAACATTTGTCTCCAATTAGGTTCATCATCTGGTGCTGTTGCTTCCTCTTTATGATCAACTCCAAGTGTATTCCTTGTTTTTGTTGAACCTTGCTGCTCAGCATCATTTTCTTGCAGTTTCTCAAAACTCTTTGAAGAATGATTTTCAGTAGTTGCAATTGTACTCATAGCCACCGTTTCTTTTTCATCGTCTTTTTGGTAATCTCCAAGAGTTTTCGTTGTCTCAGTTGAACCTTGCTCAGCATTATTTTCTTGCAGTTTATCAAAACTCTCTGAAGAATGATTTTCAGCTGTTGCAGCTGTACTCATAGCTACTGTATCTTTTCCATGCTCTTTCTGATCAACTCCAAGAGTATTCTCCGTCTCAGTTGAGCCTTTTTGAGCATCATTTTCTTGCAGTTTCTCAGAACTCTCCGAAGAACGATTTTCAGTAGTTGTAATCGTACTCATGTCTACTGTTTCTTTTCCATTACTATCTCCAGGATTAAGAGTCTTCTCTTGTTCTTTTAACTCATTTGGAGGTTTGTTTTCCACTGAGGCCGCCCCTTCTGTTTCTAAGGTATTAGGGACCTTCAGATTATTTTCGGCGTCTACACCATTCTGTGGTGAACCAGTTACCTTTTCTGTTACATTATCGGCAATCTTAAGCTCCTCATCTGAATTTACTGCATCTTCTAACAAATTGGTATGCTCCTTTTCCGACTTCTTTACATCATTCGGTAAGACATTGTCTTGTTCAGTCAATAGAACTTTCCCTTCAGGTTCATGTTTTGATTCATTTTGGTCTGATGAATTCTCTTGTACCATTGGTGAATCTGCTACCTTAACCTCCTCACTTGGCTGCAGACTTTGGACTTCTACCGAGAGGCAATCGATACTAGAATGTGCATCGGTGAAATGAGTCTGGAGATTGCTATTCTGATCTTCAACAGTTTGGTTTAGAACTTCAACTGCAAGCATCTTCTGTTCCATTTCTCTGAGTTGATCGTTCAGTTTATTTTTATCTTTGATCAGACTTTCCTTATCGTCCTCCAGAGTTCGAACAAGCCCTTGAAGTTCATCAGTTTCTGTTCTCAATCTATTCACTAGAGCAGTCTGTGATGAAACTGAAGTTTCCAATCTAATCACTTTGTTCACAAGCTCATCAATCTTCTCCGCCATTTCTGTCGCAGCCAGAGACGAATGGGAGCTAGCCTCAAAGTGCTCCTTAACAGTTTCCTGTAATAACTGCAAGTCATGTCTCTGTTGCGTCAATTTACCCTCTTCGTTTTCCAAGTCCTTTCCTTCGCCTACGCTTCTTACATCTCTTATGACCCTCGGCTCTTTCGATTCGCTCTTATCATACTCAAACTCATTCATGAGAGAGGCTAATTTCGCCTTAACCTCCTTTATTCTTTCGGATTCAACTTTGGTTTCATCAACTGATCTTTCCTGTTTCACTTCCAACTGTTCTAATGTCTCTTGGCATGACTTAAGAGCAGCTTCAGCCATCAACCGGCGCGCTTCATCGTCTTCAATAACAATACCTTCTCCGAGTTCATCTTGCAGAACAGAAACTTTCTCTTGTAACTCCTTGATCTTCTCTTCCGTTTCCCAGTACCTAGCGATGGCATTATCGTACGAGCTTTTCACAAACTCCTTCACAGTTTGCAGAGATAAAATCTGTTTCTGCAGCTTATCAACCTCTTCAAGCGCCTCCTTTCTGCTTAATCCAGATTTCGGAACCTTAGAAGCAACCCACGGCATCGTAGTCTTTTTCGAATTAAGTTTCTTCGTGGCCGCCGTCGCTGCTGTTATCACGCTTTTCAAATCTCTAAGAGGAGGCTTAGGAACATTTGTTTTGTACCCTTCCAGCGGCGTTTTTTTCGGAGTCCTCGGCGATCCAACGTCATCATCTTCATCCATAAACGGAACTCGATCCGGAAAAGCAGAAGCAATGGTATTATTAGCATTCTGCAACTCTGTCGATATGTGATCATATCGTTCTGCTAAAGCTCGGTAAGCCTTGTATGTTTCTTCAACAAAACTTATCAGCTCCGGTCTCTTTTTGTAATACATTTCTGCTCTCTTCGCAAACGAGTCTCCATCTTCCTCTATGAGTTTCATAGCATTCTTCACCTTTTCCTCCATATCTGCATTTTACATACAAAACAATTCAACCTCTTGAGTATATCTATATCTATATCTAATTCCTTAAACCTTGAAACTGATGATCATTAACTCATAACCATATAACGTTAAAACCAATGTATCAACATGCAAGAGAATGAAAGAAATTATAAGGTGATAATCATGAATCAACCTTGAAGGTTTTGTTCCATCCATTTTGATTGTTTTGTTCTGATGTGACTAGCCCACCACCATGAATATGCATTGCTTGCTGCTCTCTGCAACATTTTTTCTATCTTATGTTTGCTTCTTCTCTTCCTCTTTGATGATATTGAGATCTTATGATGTTAACTATAACAACCGTCTTTCTTTTTTACTCTATCTATGGAAAGATAATGAAGACAAGACATGGAATCCATGATGCAAAGGACCATGAGAAGAAAATTTTAAAAAAATATATATGAAGAATTAAAGAGAAGAAAAAAAAAAGATTTTCAATGAAACATTGAGAAAGACATAGAGAGAGAAAGAGAGAGAGAGAAAACGTGTAAAAGATGTTGTTGTGATAATTATGAGATAATGGAGGGGAGCAAAGTTCGCATGAATTTTATGTCCAAAAGTATTTTCTCTAGAAAAAAGCGTGACAGTGAAAATAAATACTCCTAATAAAGTTAGGATTTAATTTTCATATACATTTTTTAATGTAAAATTTGTAAGTTTATAAGTTATAATATTATAAAAATGTAACAACAACAAAAAATAAAAAAGTTAGTTGCATGACATTGACATGTGTTGTCCCAGCTTTGCCAGTTCACCTTCCTCTTTTGCTTTTTGAATGCAACTTTTATTTTTCTTTTCTGGAATGTTTTAAGATCTCAATCTTGCTTCAAAAAAATAAATAGATGTTAATATTGTTTGAGTTAATTAAGGTGTAACATTAAGGAGACCGATCTTTATAATAATATGCTTATACTCAAACTATATCAGTTTTTTGATTTGTTGTTTATTCAATATACAACTTATTTTTCTTTATAAAAAATAATTTAAAACTTGTTTTTGTATCTTCTTTAAGCTTCTAGTCCTAAATTTCATCGTACAAAAAAGCAGTCTATGAAAAGCCTGTAATGTGAGGGGGTGGTGGCCGATTTTTGTCGTAGAAAGTTGACAGCTTTTGTATAATAAAGTTTTTTCTAGAGTGTTTGTTTTTTTATGGGTTATAAAGTGTTTGTTGTCACGTTTGAATCACGTCTAGATCAAAAATTATTCCGTCTAAAGATAAAAGGATTCTATATATTTGTTGTATTTTTAAATATTTTTAACATTTTTTTTTTGTTTTTCTTTTAAATTTCTTTAAATGATCGTGTAAGTAAAGGAATTTTTTATCCAGTTTATTAAAAATATTCTCAAAATAATTCACTGTTTAAAAATATTTTCAATCTATTCCACTTTCAAACAAAAAAAAAATTAAAACGTAAAAGTGGCGTCAAACAAATTAGCACTTCACTTAGTTTTATAATGGTGATTCCAATTAGATTGAAGTTTATGTAGGATGTTGCCATTCTAATTGGTGTTAATGTACATTTTTTCAATAGTAGCGCCAATTCATCTAATTGGTGTTGATGTACATTTTTTTCAATAGTAGCGCCAATTCATCTAACACTAGTCTGTATTGTATATTTTTTTTATAATAAAACGATAAATTATATAAAGAAATAAAATAATATTAAATTAAAATTATGTTTACATATGAAAATAAAATTAATACTAACGAGAACGATTAAGTTGGTCATATCGGTATCCGGTTCCACATCAATTAGTTATCTTAATTCGTTGCACTCGTTACTGATTCATTCCCGATGTTTGAGAATTTAAGATTCAAACAACAACATCATCACCAAACTCTTTAAGAAGTTCATGCATTTCTAAAAAGTCTTGTGTGGATTGACATTCTTCCGTAACTGAGTTCGTAATTGATAGCGATTTTAAGAGTCTATCAGGTTTACTGACTGCAAGTGCATAGTCTAATCGCGTAATTTTAAACGATGTCGAACTCACAAAGACTGATAATCAAACTAATGTTCTCTAATGTTATCGTGTACATCTAAGACTAATGATTTATGTTGGGTTTGAGGAAAACAGGAAATAAATTCAAATTTTAATAGAAATATTCAATAACGGAACACCAGTATGTAAATCATCATATTTTAGGGATTCGATAAAATGTTGACGTATAAAAAGTGTCAAAATACTTCTCGGTAGAAAATATTAATTTAAAAGACTTTATCTCACATTGTGGTGCTATTGACTTTGACTATACTCTTAAACCAGAATACTTTGATGTCGCTCACTCATTTGAATTAAAAGTAATTTTTGGAAATCAATAAATTTTAATTAATCCTAAAGCGTTGTCTTGTGTTTATGATTAACGTCTAGATTCTACTATTCAGTTAAGATCTCAAACTGTCGCTCTATTGACCCTAACCTTTACTAGTTTTTTACTCTCGTAAAAAAACCATTTTAATTTTAGAATTAGAAACCATAACGAGAAAAATAATTTGTAAAAGTTAACACCAATTATTATCGAATTTCGTCAGGACAACAGTTCTTATATACCAATATCAAACGGTTTAGCCGGACATAATTTTGAACATAAGCATGCTGTTATGATTATAAAACATAAAACAAAACATAATTTTAAAAACAAGAATTAATTTGTTGCTCAGGTGTAACAGTACAGAATAGGAATACATGCACGGTATCTAAACAATCATACAATCAAAATATGAAATAAAAAATAGAATCCGAAGATAATGCAAAAATTGGAATAACTTCTTAAATTAACTCCGCGTACAATAACATGAATTGCGATTTGATTATGTTGACACACTTGATGTTCAGAGTATAAAATGTAATTAAAATACTTAAAACTAAAGTTGTGATAATCCTCAATGTTTCGAAATAAGGTGGAAAAGGAGAAGCAAACCTGAAATGAGGCTAATGCATGCCTTCATTACTGACTGCTAAGTAATTTAGTAATCAGCATACCAAGGTATAACAGAATGAGCCAAGGTGGCTTTCACTAATTCATCAGTTTTAAAATCGGGGTTTTCTATTTCTGAAGGATAATTTTATTGAATTTCGTTAGTTTCTAACTGGGCAATAAGTTTATCATATTGGAAGTCATCATTGATTGACACGTGTTCAGATTTTAGGTTTACGAGTCTAGAGAGGTGATCTGCTACAACATTTTCGATTCTTTTTTTTATCTTTGATTTCTAAATTAAATTCTTGTAATAACAAAATCCACTTTAATAGTTTAGGTTTATCATCTTTCTTAGTTAATAGGTATCTAGGAACTAAATTTGTCTAATGCAAACACTACTGCTAAAAGTTCCTTTTCGGTTGTGGCATAATTCATTTGTGTGGCGTCTAGAGTTCTACTAGCATAATATATAACATGAAGTTTTTTATCCTTCCGCTGTCCTAGGACAGCACCTACAGCGTAATCACTTGCGTCAAACATTATTTTGAACGGTTCACTCCAATCTGGGGTTGCATAATGGGCGCTGAGATTAATGATTGTTTAAGTGTTTGAAATGCTTCTAAACATTTGTCATCAAAGATGAATTTAGAGTCTTTCATTAATAGCTCAGTTAGGGGTTTAGTTATTTTAGAGAAATCTTTAATGAAACGTCGATAGAAACCAACGTGTCCCGAAAAGCTTCTTATTTCTCTAACAATTTTGGGAAGTTCAAGGTTTTCTATGAATTCTATTTTTGCTTTATCAACTTCAATCCCCTTGTTGGACACTATGTATCCAAGTACAATTCCTTGTCGGACCATGAAATGACATTTTTCCCAGGTTAGCACTAGATTAACACTTACACATCTTTCAAGTACCATTTCGAGGTTAGATAAGCATCCTTCAAAGCTCTACCCACAAACAGAGAAATCATCCATAAAAATTTCTATTATGCCGTCTAGAAAATCAGTGAAGATTGCATCATGCATCTCTGAAATGTTGCAGGAGCGTTACACAGTCCAAACAACATTCTCTGGTAGGAAAATGTACCACAAGGACATGTGAAGGTAGTCTTTTCTTGGTCATCAGGATGAATAGAGATTTGGAAAAATCCTGAATATCCGTCTAAATATAAGAAATGTGAGTGTTCAGCCAGACGTTTAAGCATTTGATCAATAAAGGGTAAAGGGAAATGATCCTTACGAGTGGCTTTGTTTAGCTTTCTATAGTTGATGCATATTCTCCATCCGGTTTGAGTATGTTTTGCTACATATTCTCCTTTTTCATTACTGACAACTGTAACACCTCCCTTCTTTGATACAACATGCAGTAGACTAACCCATTTATTGTCGGATATCAGATATATGATTCTTTCTTCTAATAACTTTTGTACTTCTCTCTTGACTACATCACTCAGAATGAGATTAATTCTTCTCTGATGTTCTCTAGAGGTCTTACAGTCTTCCTCAAGCAAAATGCGATGCGTGCAGATATAGGGACTTATTCCTTTTAGATACGAGATGTTATAGCTTAAAGCAGTTGGGTATTTTCTTAGGACATTTAATAATTTTTCAATTTCTATCTATCCTAAATCCGCGTTGACTATAATGGGTCATTCAAGTTTTGTGTCTAGGAATTCATACCTTAGATCTTTGGGTAGTGTCTTAAGTTCTACATCTGGTTTCTTTGGGCAAGGCATAGGGTCAGGAGTTAGTGCAAGATATTCCCTCAAGATGTCGTCTACGTATGGTTCACGCCAATTATCATCTTCAAATATAAGAGGTGTTGAAATCTTTAGTACTTCAGTATACTTAGTTTGTTGCACCCATATTTCCTTAACGCACTCGTCAATGACGTCTAAGAAACAACATGAATCATCTATAGTAGGTGCCTTGAAGAATTGTGAGAGAATAAATTCAACCTTTTCCTCGCCAACTTTAAAAGTTAGTTTTCCCCTTTTTACATCTATAATGGCTTCAGCGGTGGCTAGGAATGGTCTTCCTAATATAATAGGGATGTTGGAATCCTCCTTAATGTCCATAATTATGAAATCAGTAGGAATATAGAATTGTCCTGTACGTATTGGAACATTTTCTAGCATACCTAAAGGAAATTTCATTGAGCGATCAGCTAGTTGCACGTACATTCTTGTCGGCCTTAATTCTACCAAATTGAGCCTTTCGCAAATTGTTAAGGGCATTAGGCTAATATTGGATCTTAAACCTCATATAGCTTTGTCTATGACAAATTTTTCGATTACACAGG